GTAAGCTTAGGGCGTGCTCAGGTTTATGTGTCTGGTACAGCCCGGGCAGGTCCAGTTTGAACAAGGTTCTTGTGTCTGGTACACCCTGGACAGGTCCAGTTTGAACAAGGTTCTTGTGTCTGGTACAGCCCGGGGAGGTCCAGTTTGAGCAAGGTTCTTGTGTCTGGTACAGCCCGGGGAGTTCCAGTTTGAACAAGGTTCTTGTGTCTGGTACACCCTGGACAAGCCCAAATTGTACACGGTTTCCTGTGTACAGGCCGGGCAGGTCCAGTTTGCTCAAGGTTCCTGTGTCTGGTACAGCCCTGACATCCAGTTTGTACAAGGTTTTCATGTCTGGTAAGTCTGGGTTGGTCCAGTTTGCTCAATGTTCCCGTGTCTGGTACTGTCTGGGTTGGTCCAGTTTACTCAATGTTCCCGTGTCTGGTACAGTCTGGGTTGATCCAGTTTGCGCAAGGTCCCGTATCTGGTACATTCTGAGTTTGTCTAGTTTGTACTAGGGCTCCCTTTCTAGTTCAGTCATGGCTGGCCTAATGCGTACAGTTCAGGTTGGTCTGATGTGTACACGGGTTTCATTTTTGGTATAGTACTGCCAGTGCGTACATGGGTTTCCATTCAAGTCCTGCCCTGTCTACATGGAATTTCATTCTGGTTCAGTCAGGGTTGGGGTGCGGGGTGGGGTTGGAGCGGGGGGGGGGGGGATGAGATTCACTATCACTTAACAAAGCATGTCATACAAGGCGACTAGATAAAGACTTGTCGAAATCGGATGTTTTGGGTTGCCGCCCAGCTGCAGTCAAACTGATTACTATTTTCAGGGCAAAGGAAAGTCACATGACACACTAGTGACGGAGATAGTGTTGTTTGTTACATATCATGAAAAGATATTAGACCAAAATTCAGCTTCATATTAACACAAACCACAAGTGAACGTTACGACTAGAGAGCCTATGACAGCTTATTACAAGAATACGCAATACCATAAACATAAAGAATACACGAAATCACTTAACTGAAGAACTGAAGTGTCTCCAACGGAAATCACATAGCTCTCTGGCCAGTTGAGACTCTGACCCATAAGTGCCCCCAGAAGTTAATACTAGCTAGAAAAAACGTGTAAACGGCAAGGACCGTAACTTAGCATATTAGATAAAACGGTGCGGTCTGTAAAGTCCCCTAGATGAATTGTTGCCCATTAGATATATAAGGTGGTTCTCGAGAGATTTACTGACTCTGTCATTAGAGCAGCTAGACTTGTTGACTGTTGGTCGTTGTGGAGATGGTGGTTGAGCATTGTACTGTGTTTGGACATGACTGTCTGAATGGATTACGATGTAACGTATGTGTAGATCAGTGGTCTCTGGTCTTTTTCAGGTCGGCCACCCCTAACCCCTTGAGTATATGTTTAGAAACCCCAGCCCCTCCCCTTGAGTATATTGCAAGACCTTCACGTCCACTTAAGACCCCCCCCCCCCCCCCCCCAACACGCCCATTTAACAATACATAATATGAGTAAAAAGAAGAAGACAGTAGATTCCGCAACAAGAGAAACATAAAGTATGGAGATACGTTTTGGTCAGAATGTGCTCTTAATCTATAATGTTATATTAATTAGATTTTAAACTGCAGACGTACAAACTGCACCAGGAAATAAAAATGCATTTGCTATTTTTTTAAATAAATAGTTTTAAAACAAATTTTTATAAGAAAAATAAAACAAAATATAAATATTAGTATAACGAATTATTACAGGTAGAGGAACTTCCTTGTGCTCCCTGAAAGTGGGGGGCGGGGGGGGGGGCATCTCTCCCCTCCCCAGGTTGGAAACTACATGTGTAAATGAAATACTCGTTAGTGTATCCCACAGTATAGATGGAATACGAGTTAATGAATATTGCTTTACTGGTATGCAGGTCGAATATGAGTTAATTTTTTTTACTATACCAATTTACTATACGATTATGTAAATAGAATACAAGCGAATGTATATTACTATACGACTGTGTAGATGGAATAGGAGTTATGTATATTGCTTTACAGGTGTGTAGATGGAATACGAGTGAATGTATATATAATGCTATAAGAATGTGTAGATGGAATATGTGTTAATGAATATTACTATACGAATGTGTAGATGGAATATGTGTTAATTTATATCGCTGTGCGACTATAGAATGAATATGAATATAATGACTAATGTATATTTCTATGTTCAATACTGCCATATACACAATACTTTTGTAGATATTTTTGTAGATATGTTGGTCTAAGTTGGCGACAAATACCTGGCAACAGCATGACCTGGCCAGGACCGTGAAATCTTTGCCTACAAATTTCAAATATATTTTTTCAGCGGTAAAAAAGGTCACAACCTAACAGATGAAAGAAACCGAATAGTAGCAATTACCCACACAATTGCTGGAATATTGACTATTGGTCCATGACATACAAAAGAACAAAAACCAGGTCGGTTGCAAGCGATAGTAATCAAGTTAACGGTTAACGGCTGCAACACTGATAGACATTCCTGTTTGATAGAAGCGAGATAATCTTGTTTGCTTTTATGGTCATAAACCGACGAAGCTGTTTAAACCCACTAAAGAAAACCGTAATGAGTAGGTGACTCAATACTAGTTTACCAGCTTTATGCTAAGAAACTGAACCATTTCCACACAGTATGCCTCAGAAAGTTGCTGAACATAAAATGGAAAGACAGAATCCCTGTCACTTGACAGAGCTAGACTGAGTGACTGACTTTCTACCCCACCAAGACATCACACAAGCGATAAACACCCGATGACACAATGTGTCACCATGTGGATGAGGATCACCGTGGAGAGGTCTCAAAAACCGCGTTCAGCCATTAGGCCATATTTATGGCTAGGCTATATTGCGGCCCCTGGCAAAAGTCAGAGTAGGGCTTCAAATAACGAAACATTTTATCCTAAAAGGACGAGAAGTACACAAAGAGCTGGACTGTCCAGTATCTACTCGATTCTAAAACAACCACAACTTCGCTGAGCAGGTCATATAGTTTGCATACCTGACCACCGACTGCCAAAAGGAATTTTCTATGGTGAGCCACTAAACGGAAAACGCTCTCAATGTGGAGAGAAGAAACGTTTCAAGGACAGCCTGAAGACCTCACTTAAAGACTTCTGAATTTATCCTAAAACCTGGGAAGTCGCAGCACCGCTTATCTTGGTGCTCCTCTCTTCATCGAGGAGCGGTGGCCCATGAAGCTGCTAGAACTGCAGCAGCGGCAATTCAAAAAAGTCACTGAAGCAATTCACCAGAGAGATGCGGCTTCTATTCCCTGCCCACACTGCTCAAGAACTTTCAGTGCTAGAGTTTGCCTTATCAGCCATCTGCGCACTCACAAAACCTAACCCGTCACCACTGAATGAAAGGACTGATCATCATCATTTGTGATGGAGGAATAACAACAATATATATATATATATATATATATATATATATATATATATATATATATATATATATATATATATATATATATGTATATATATATAATTGTTGTTGCAATACAGATTATTACTGAGGACTGGGAAATGCTGAGAAATTATGAAAGGCAATAAAAGAGGTGTGAGGAGGGTTGCAGATTTGGTAAAATATAAAACGGAGAGACGACTGATTGTTTTAATAATAATGCGAACACAAATATTTCACAAAATATTGCCATGCAAATTTCACTGTATCTTGTCACTTACTACTACATAATTACATCAACATATGAGGAAACACAAAATCTGAATAAATGCACAGAAATGCGAACGGGTCTCTTTTGATGCTTCCTGTTCGTCTAGTTGCCGGCAGGGCTGCCAATAAGATTTTTATCAAAACCCAAGCTAAGCTAACAAAATACCCAAGCAATACGTATCAAATAACAGAAAAATACAAACATATACACTCATCATCAGGTGCCTTGCCGACTGGCGTGGGCGATCATGCCTCTCCATAATCCACGATCTCCTGCACCATGAATCAGTTTGTGTGCCGACACACCTCCATACCATGCAACAAGACTGTCAAGCATCTTCTCTCGTTGTCTTCCTCTATACCTCCTTCCACAGATCTTTCCAGTGGTCACAGCAGGTTCTATTTTCCCTCATCTCATAACATGGCCGAAAAATGATGACATATACCCTAGAAAGATATAAAACTGAAAATAAAAATCCCTAGAAATGATAAAAACTGCACATTCTATAGTTACGAAACGAAACATTTACCCCTTTTATGTAAGAATATATATATATATATATATATATATATATATATATATATATATATATATATATATATATATATATATATATATATATATATATATATATATATATATATATATGTATTTTTTTTTTTTTCTAAACCCAAGATTCCTAAACCCAAGGCGTCCATTAAAAAAAAGATCTTGGGGGAAACCCAAGTATTGGCAGCCGTGGTCGCTAGAAGTTTATTGTAATCACATGACACGGGGGAAACCTGACCATGAATTCTGTTTGTTTATAACGACATTGTTCACTACGAACTGGCTATGAAACATACACAATCAAGACGCGATAGGCCAAAAATAAAAAAATAAAATTAGGCAGGAAAAAAAAAAAAAAAACTGAGGAATCGGGAGGAAAAAAGAGTATCTGGTAATCCTAGTACTGAGCAAGAGGTGGAAAAGAACAAGAAAGCCAAATGAAAGTGGCAATACTTTCAAAGTTGTCGGCACGGGACTGAAGTTATCATTGACGGACATCCAACAAGCTCACCAGCCTGACGTTAGATGTCCCTCAAAGATAACTTCTTTGCTGATTGAACTGGGCATCTTCGATTGCCCTGCTGGTTGCCATACAAACTGAGATTTTGTCATCTCTGGATTTCATTCCTCGGGAAGGAGTCTGTATGGGGACAATTTGATGGAAGCAAGACGAAGAAAATGAATAAAAATGTTAGTAAGATCAACGAATTACTCTTTGCAGATGACCAGGCCT